TGCTCAGTGGGGAGCCTGCTTCTCCCTCTGCTGCTCCCCCTGCTCTCCCTCTCTCTCTCTCAAATAAATAAATAAATAAAAACTTTAAAAAATATGTTTAAAGTAACTAAGAAAAATAATGGAAAAGGGAACTAAGGGTAAGAAAATAATGTGGAATCAGAAGTAAAACACAGAATATATTATGGTAACTTTGGGTTGGAGTTTGGCTCTGTTGTTTAAGAGCTAAGTGACTGGGGGAAAGTTCTTAACCCACTTGAACTTCAGTTTCATGTCTACAAAATATAATAACTACGGCTATTTCTTAGTGCTGGTGTGAGGGTTATATGAGAAATTATATTAACATACACTGGAGTATTGTTTAGTGGTTTAGAAAACCCCTCAAAAGCTCAGCTGAGATCAGTGTTACTGGGATGTCCCAAAGTATATATAATTCATTCATTTCTCTACAACCACAAAAGCGGTTGAGTAGCCATGTGTTAGAGATCACTCTCCGGTAAGTACCCGGAACACAGTTTTTAGCTTCGCTACTCAGTGTGGTCAAAGAATCAGCAGTATTTCTGGGAGCTTGTTAGAAATGCCAAATCTTGACCTACCTCAGACCCAGAAGTCAGAATCTTCACGGGAGCACCTTAGGAGATTTATAGGGACACTGAACTATTTAATGCTGGTTAAAAATAAAATCCTGGGCTTTAATAGTCAGCTGGACTAGGTTTGGACTATCAAACACGTGTGAAAACTGAGGTATCTAATAAGAACCTGTGACTGGTGAGAAAGCTGTCTCACTTCCAGTCACAAGGACCAGTATTACCCATTTTGGTCTCAAGGTTAACTGCAAGGTAACTGATGAGGCATTGTAGAGTATTGCCACACAAAATGGCCACACATGGGCAAAATGTGATCAATAACTCATTCCTTCAACACAAAAGAAGGCACATAAGAAATGCTCAGAGATAAACAGAGAGGCTCACCTTAGCTGATCAATAAGTAGTCAAAAGCCATGGTCATGGGGTGGGCAACTTGGCATTGAGTCAAAGTGTCTATCTTCTTAGTTTCTGGCTCATTGGGAAGCGGATGTTGCACTTAGTGTACTTGCCGCAGGTTGCAAATGTCAAAGCTCATCTTATTCTTCAGTCATGGTCCAGGTGTCTTTTTAGTTAAATAAGACCAGCAGACAGTTCTCCAAAATCTGTACAAATCATGGTTTGGTACCAGGATGCCCTGACCTTGGGCTTAGCCTTCTAGACTCCAGAAGAAAATGGAGACCTTATAGCCATTTTTTTTGAAGAATTTGTTTTTGTCTTCACTTGTTTTGTTCTCATGGAATTTGCACTTTTGAGGTTTGTCTTGGGGTCTCTTCCAAGGAATGCATGTTTTGAAGGAGTGGAGGAAGGGAATACACAATTAGTATGCCGTCACTGAGGGATTGAGAAAGCTGAGAAAAATGTCAGGATGCTGAGTCTGGCCTGGAGGAAAGAGATGAAGGAACACCTGGGGAAAGTTGGTGGCAGTCACTCTACCTCTCTGTCTGGGTACACACCTCTGTCACTTTCCCTTGTCCAAAACTAGTGTGGTGCTGAGCGCGAAGCATGAGCTTTGAAGTCAGAAAAAACTAAATTCATAGCTGTGTTCTGACTCCTGGCTGTGTGTCCTTCAGCTCATGACCTGCTCTCATTTTTCTTATCTGTACATTGAGACTGATGATATCTGATGCACACAGTAGTCAAATTAACTTAATTAAAATAATAAACTTCCTGGTTTAATACCTGGCACATTTTGAGTATTCCATAAATAGTAGCTAGTAATTGATTTCCTCTCTCTTAAAAACCAGTGAGTGACTCACCCCAGGACACCTGGGAAGCTCTCATCAACAATCCCAAGTAGATGTACCCTCATAAACCCCTCTGGCTGTTATATCACTTGGTCTAGTTAAGGTTATTTTATAATGATGTATTTAAAGTCTATCTCCTGCACCTCCTATGAACTCCTTAAGTTTGGTGACGGTCTTATTTCTCTTTACAACCTTAATGATCCCCACAGAGCTTGGCAAGGTATTTACCAAGAAATGCTGATGGACTCAATGCACCAATGGATTTTGAAGATGGTGACCATCCTATAGGATGAGTCTACAGTATGACTGAAGGACCTTAGGATGAAGCCAGCTCCAAAGCAGTGAAGCCCTCAGGATATCCCTGCCAAGAGTTCTGAGTGGCCCTGTGTGCCGTGGAGTAGCTATGGCCAGTTCCTAAAACAAATGAGGGTTAAAAAGGTCACAAATAGGGAAGGTCTTTGCTATATAGGATCAGAGACCAAACAACATTTTCTGCAGATGGTGCTGGAACCAATTCAAATCGGGTTGAAGATAAGAGGCTTTTTTCCCCCCACAAAGTATTCTGTGGGTTCTTTGAACTTGATACATGACTGCAGCCTCATGGGCGCCAAATCCAAAATTCAAGGTAAAGGTTGTTTTTCTTTCTGGAGCATTCTGAGGCCTCATCCTCCACTAGAATGTCATCTAAGTGCCTTTATTTAACAAAACCCCCAAATCATTAAGCCTAGAGCGGTCCCACAGCTCCAGGATGCCTCATTCTCAGATAACAAAAGCAGCTGTTGCATGCCCACCAGCCCAACACGGATCAAAAATCTGGCAGGTTTCCCTCGCACCCCCCTAAGCTAAATGAAAGCCCTTAGCATTCCCAAACTTTACATTACCCACCCGCGCTGAGTTGGCCACTGGCCACAGCTATGGCTACTCCCGCCGACCTCCGAGGAGACATTGCCCTGTGTGCTGGTGGATGGTCGGATGGTTCTCGTCATCAGTACGCTTACCTGCCTCCCTTTCAAATTCTGAGCACTTTTTATTTCCCATTAGACTCAGGCTTTTGTGTACTTTCCCTTTATTGGAACTGGCAACATGAAGCTATTTAAACACAGCTCCATCTGTCAGCGCCAGGTCCTGCAGGTAGAGTGTCGTGTTTGATTTCAGATTATCATTTGTCATGTTGTCAAGAAGGGCTTGGGGAGGGAGAAAAAAAAATGCCTGTGTCTAAGCCGTTCTTGGGTTAAAATGCGCCAAGAACTGATCTGCAACTTTGACTATGACTCTGATCCACGCTCTTCATGTCTCCCTACAGTCATGGCAAACCCCTGTGACATTCATAAGGTGGCCTCCAAAGAATTGCCCACAGTGGAAAGCAGACCATAACTCTGAGCTTTGGAGCCTATGTTGGGTCATTCCTCATTCATAAAGCAACTCCAAGAGTTAGGCTTGTTCTTAGAAGGCAGAGCACGAGTGTAAACAGAGCAGAAGGCCCCTTGTTTAACCCACTGATATTTGCAGCATCTAGAAATGGGGGATGGGATAAGCTACACTCAGAAATTCTGCTTCTGGGTATCCGTGCCAAAGAGATGAGATCTAAATACAGACTATCTTTTGAGCATCATTCTTCACAATGTGTTTACAATCTCAAGATATGAAAAATGAGATACACATTCAACAGTTCACAGAACAGCAGAAGGTTGATCATTGTTGAAGCTGAAGAATAGAGGCATGGAAATGTGTGTGCTGTTTTCCTTTCTGCTAAAAATAATAAAGACTGTGCTCAAGAAAAAAATATAAAAATTACAGATACGGTATGACCCATGTGCATTATGAATACAAAGAAAAGCGACAAAGAATATACCAAAAGGTGTTGGTCACCAATAGCACATGTGACACAGTGACATGTGCCCTAATTCTTAGTGCCACAGCGTGGCTACACTGTTGAGAATGTGAGTGGGTGCTCATGAAAAATAGGAACCCTGGGCAGATCTTGCATTTGACTTGTTTGCTTGAGAATTGACTGGTGTCAAAATGATCAATATCTTGGTGTCTGGTATCAATATCTTGAAAAACAGACCTCAAGAACTGACAGGGTAGGTGAGTGGACAGGTAAAGTTTGCCATAGCATGGAAAGCAGAGAGGGGTAGGGAGAACTTGAGACAGCTGGGCAGAAATGTGAAGGCAGAGATACTGGTAATGTGGGAGAAAGTGAAACTGATCCAACATCTGGTCCAGAGTGGGAAAAATGTCGCTTCTCAGACCCAGATTTAAGGAATGGGCTTGGTCCTTGGAAACAGGATTTCTCCTTTCCCTACCCTGCAGCCACCAGCACCCCTGTGCCACAATCCAGGCACCAAATAAAAGTGGATCTGTGCTCTCTCTCTGTTGACAGCCTGAATAAATGAGTTCTGATCTGTTCCTCTCACACATGCTAAGATTTACTTTCCCCTTTGGATTTTGACTTTAAGGCTCAATTTATCATTTTTAGACCACACAACCATTTTAGATCATACAATCACCCAGATAAGAATCGTCTCTGGTTGTGATTCTCCTCCTTCCACAGTTTAGGTTCCTCTTAGAGTTGTGCTCCTTCACAACACTTTGGGGAAAAACACCTTCCTGTTTGCCCTCATTTCTCAGCACTACCTCATGGTTACCCAGAGAACTCCAGCATGACAAACAAAAATCATGCATGCAGAGAGGTGTAGAGTGATCTTCATTTATTCAGGGCACTAGACAATTCTACTAGTTTGGTTCTTGATCCCATGATGACAGAATATGGGGACAACGTTTCAGAGAAATCCCAGACGTCTCTTTATTTCTTCTCTTTGTTTCCATCAGGACCTCTGAGGGAATCATTAATACTGCCCAAAGGAGCAATTGAATCTAAGGAAAAAATATAGAATTTGTCAGGAAAAAATTAGAGTGTTTTTTGCCAGTGAAATTGAATTTTGATTGACAAAGTTCCAGAATTGTGGCAGGTAGGGGTAACCTGCCACATGAGGAAAATGAATGGAATCTAAAGAAACTGATCTCGAAGACCAGTCTATGGGGAATTCACTAGAAAGGACACACATGCCATTCTTTGAATTAAAAAAAATTGGCCCCTAGTTTTTAAAATTACTTTTAATATATGTGTATAACTAACTCAGAGTCATTTATACTCATTGAAGAAAACAAAATCCTAGAATTCAAATAATAACCAGTAATTTAGAATACTGTATTTGAGTCGCCTTTCATAGAGATGTGTCGATCTGCCCACCACCCCTACCTACATAGTGTTAAGATTGCCACTGTGGATTGGTATAAATTTTTATGCTTGGATCATTTGACATACAATTTAGCTGAAACCACATAACAAAGTATTTCATTTCCATGAGTTCCAACTGTCATTTAAATTTTACCCTGAGAAGTATTCAGCATTGCAAATAAGAATATACCTCTCCTGGCCTCTGCTTTATCCAACTTTGATTCTTATTTTGAAAGTCCTTTTGGTTAGCCTGAGATACAACTGGCTTAGGGAAGCAAAGCAGGCAACATGATTTGTCAAAAATTTCTAGAATTAGGAGGGAGTGAGAAAACTCAAATTATCATCTTTGCCAATTCTGTGATGCTCATATGCCTCAGTTCCCACATCTACTAAGCAAGAATATTAATAACTATCTTAAATTGAATGCATAGAGTATACCATGAACCATTCCAAGATTTCAATGTTATTAACTTGTGTATTCCTTACCAAAAAAAATCCATGTGGTAAATACTATTATTGCCTCTATTTTACAGGCAAGGATACCAAAAAAATGCATCTTGAAGTCAGATAGTTGGTACGGTGAGTTAGGAGTCAGATGGTGGCTGGAACTCTGCACCAGGACTCCATTGTGTCATGGGCATTCTGAGTAGGGTGTGTAGCAAAGATGATTGACCCTCACCAAAGTCCAGTCTTTCCTTTTTTTTTTTTTTTAAGATTTTATTTATTTATTTGAGAGAGAGAGAGAGAATGAGCAGTGGGGAGGGGCAGAAGGCATGGGAGAAGCAGGTTCCCTGCTGAGCAAGGAGCCCAATGTGAGACTTAATCCCAGGACCCTGGGATCATGACCTGAACCGAAGGCACTTAACTGACTCAGCCACCCAGGCGCCCCAAGTCCAGTCTGTTCTTACAGAGCACACCTGGTGTTAGCTGGGCAAGTGGCTGCCATCAGCAACATTTTCCAGCCTCTCTTGCAGCTAGGTATGGTCAAGTGACTAAGATAGGGATGTGAGGGGAGGGATCTGGGCAGCTCTAATCATCTTAGGGGTGATTGCCCTGATCTTCCTCCTCCATCTCCCTTTGTTCTCTTCAAAGACTATTGCTAGAACATCCTGTGGTTCAGGATGGTAGAGGTGCCCCTCCAGCCTGGGTGAGAGGGAATTTTGAGAAACAGAGACCTCAAGTCATCCCAGACTGTTATGTGAAAGAGAAATAAACTTCTCTTATTCAGGCCACTGCACTTTAGTTTCTTTGTAACAGCAGTTTAATCACATAGTATTTGAACGAATAGAGTTTCATAAGCAGTGTTGTGCCAGAGAAAGCTTGCACTAATTCATGACAGACAGTTGTTCAATAGTCAGGAGTTTTTTGAGTTGTTTACTAAATTGTTCATGGGAGTGCTTAAAATATGAAAATTGGCAAACATTACAAATCAGGGCTATTTTTAAATTAAAGTTAGTTCAATTTTAAAGAGCTGGTTTACCAGCATATCACCAGGTTTGAGGATTCAATAAAATAATTCATAAAAATGCTTGGCAGAGTGACCAGTATCCAGTAAATGCTCAATAAATGCTAATTACATGAGTCATAACAATAGATGGATTAAAATAAAGATTAATTTGTTAATTCTTCACACTCAAAGAAAACCATAAATACCTTATTTCCTTGCCCCAAATCACACGGGGTCTTCCTATGCAAAGCAAACCCGAGGACGCCATATTCTCTGCCTCCCTTGCTGGGTATAATCGGCCAGTGAGTCACATAGAAAACTTCTGCTTCTTTTGTAATTTTCAGAGTTGATTATTACTTGCTAAACAAAATCTTTTTTCTTTTCTCATTAATATGATAGGGAAAAAAAGCAAACTAGAAGGAATTTTATGTCAGAACGCTGTCTTTAAATCTTACTAAATACAGAGGGATTTTTTTCTCCAAGTTTTTAACTTTTATCTCTTCAGTAAGTATTTTTGGTTTTTGAAGAGCCTTCTTAATCACTGAAGTTTTCAGCACAAGCGTCTTATCCTATCAAGTTGTTAGAAGACTCAGAATTTCTATAAACAATTTAATTCTAAAATTGGTAGGCCATTCATATGAAAAAAGAAAACCTTGAAATCTGCGATTACTAATTAATAAGGTCTTTCCCACTTTGAACATGTCCAAGGATGTGATCTACTCACCTCCTTCCAGAACAGACTAATGGTATTTCACATCACTGGTAAACTGCATCCCTCCTCCCACTCAACTCGGATAGGGCTTTAGCATTCAACAAAGCATTTCCAGGCAGCCTCTATATGAATCAGAGGTAAAAATGCCTTAACAATTCATTGTAGCCTAACCTCCATGACAGGAATCCAAGGACTGAAGTCTTGACCAAATACCTGTTTCCGTAGCAGGGTTCCTGATTCTGGCTGAGACCTGATCCCAGACACTTCCCCAAGTGGCTGGTTGGCCCTGACATTCTTCAGGTTTCCATTGTTCTTGATAAAATCCAGATCCTTTAACATGGTCTAAGGCTAACCTACCTTCCATTCTCATTCAGCACCCCTCTTTGCCTTGTGCTGATTAAACTCTACTTGCCCCTCTAGATATACTCTCCATCTGTCTCAACCCTGCTCTGTGTTCTGGGATGCTGGCCTCTGTAGATTATTTCACTGGGATTCTCTCAGGGTTTGAGTGGATGTGTTTCACTACCTATGGCAACAGTTCCCATGAGGCAAGTCTTATCCCACATCTGCCTCTGTCCTGGGGTTC